GAAGAAGAGATTGTCAAATACATACATGTTTAGAAAGGGAAAAAAAAAGGGTAACAATTCCTAGCTCCAGCATTTCATTATGATGTTTCACTAAATTGTTCTTCTGTTCCATGGATACTACCAATACGAGGCTAGAGGCATCCATGTCAAACATAATATGATACAATAACATTTTAGTGTAAACGTTTAAGAAGAATTCAGATACTTAAAACATCATGTCTCCATGTCCTACATAGGAAGAAGAAGTGTCTGATAGACAGTCCATACACACATCCAGGATGCATAATGAGTCCACATAGCAGGAGCCAAAATCAATGTGGAAATTTTAAATTCAGAGTTACCAGATTGTCATCTAATTAAGCAGCATCTTGTGGCATCTTCTCCTCTCAGGTGTCCGAAATGAAAGCAAAATATTTTCCACCAAAGGTTGATATCAACTTACAAAATGAGATACCTACGGATTTCTACATTCTAGTATCTGGAGCAGTGGTATGGTTACTTCTCCTTTCACATGTTATTCTATGCACACTACCAGAAGCAAAATCTGACCATCTGAAATGCAGGATGTCATGATATACAAAAATGGCACGGAGCAAGTATGGTTTTACTTTTTTTTCAATGAAATGGAGCTGATATGTTCAGTACGTGAGTATTGCAAAGACAAAAAACAATAACGGAAGATGCATGATTGACCATGTCTAAGAAATTAGTAATGAACTTCTGCATTGACTGACAAATCAAGGTCCTTGTTTTTACAAAGATCCACAATTTTTTTATGGAAAAACACCTATTGCAGGGGGAAAAAATGTAGAACAGTAAAACTAGAAAATGATGGTGATTGTAATGGGACACAATATGTCATGCACAGGAAACTACTAATCAACCCACATTGAGTCTCACATACACAATTACTTGCACACAAAAACATATTACTTCAAAAGAAAATAAAATGGAGAGCCAAAACCAATCTGTAACTGTGGTTTCATTTCACAGCTACGTTGCATATAGTTTTGATTTGTCATAGGAAAGCAGTAACCTTTCTAGTTGCTATGTAACATGCAAGGCAAAGAATGACCAACACCAATCTAAAAATTGTAATATGTAGAAATTTCACTAGAAAAAAAATCCATTCAACGAAGGAAATCACAAGATGATCTTATATGAGACCAAACTGATGAAAGTTTCCTATCTGTTGAAATAAATCCTAGTTATTCCATTTTTTCTACATTTGAATCATTGAACTAACAGAACAAAGAGTTGTATTTGATGTTAACTTAATTCAAATGGGATTTCCAGTTCTTGTCAAAATTAGGGGTTGCAGACATGGCAGGAGAAATAGGGGTACTTTTCAATATCCCACAACCTTTTACGATGAGAACTAAGAGACTTTCTCAGGTCATCTAGATTAGTCATCATCAATTCAAGCAAATGGTGCAGCCACATAATCTAGATGGAAAGATAATAATCTCCAACTTTATACAGGTCTGGAATTTTTTTATATTATTGAGAATTGAGGTTTTAAAAATGTTATATTTCCTCATGTTTCTAGATATTATCAGTGATACATTTGACAAGTACATAGCACAAGAAGTTAGTGATTAAACTACCAACTTCTCCCAGGAAACTGTACACACAGTGCCCAAAAAATTGAAACACAATTTTTTTTTCTAAGCATTGGAAAACTATTTTTAGGTCATCACGTGGCGAGGTTTGAATTTGATGGGCCATCCACCAGTGTTTCCACTATCAGAGTTCCCCACTCAACCCTTAAATTAGCTTCACATGCACATAAACTTTTATGCTGACTGACTCTACCTGCATTCCTTGCTCAGTATTTGAAGGGATTAAAGAACGAGTTGCTCGAAGAGATGCCATTTGTAAAAGATTTGTTGGATGAGTTCAATACAGAGGTAATTCTTTGCCTTGGACATAGACTTGCATAAAACATATATCAATAATAAATCAGAATCTGAGTTTACCTGTGCCTATAAAGAAAGATACCTGAAATTTTACACATTTGACAATTTACTTTAGATGTGTACGGTACAGGAAAGTTGTTAAGCAAGGAATTAGTACATTCATTTTTTATCAAGTTGCATGCTTGGAGTTCAGGATACAATCCAACACAATCAAAAAGACAGAAATAACAATAGAATTGGGTGTGCAATAGAACTAGTAGTGTGTATATTAGTCTAACAGAGGAGTTGCTATTGATGCTATGTTTTTAATACTACATAAATGTCACCTAAAATCGAATACTATCATATCAGTTTAACTTGATAAGATATTCCTATCCAAGAATTAAGCCAATTCAACATGGCAGAAGGAGCGCTTATGGACTATTTGATGAATGATCATTTTATCAAGTATTATCAATATTTCTATTTCCATGCTTGAATTGACTTTAAATACATACTATTTACTAATCATCAATTGATTTTAGTGGATTTGAATTTAGTTAATGGATTTTACTAGTTTTTAGATTTTATTGTTGATTTGAATTTAGTTACTCTATTACATCGAATATTCATTTGAACCTACTCTGAATTGGAAAATTAATTGCTTTGTATGTATATTGTTCTTCTTGTTTGGGAAATCAACTAGTTCCTATTGTCACCATTCAGTCTTCAATTATTGCTACATTTGGTGAATTTTGTTGTTTTGTGAGTTCAACATATAGCATCTGTGGATTGGTATTAGTTTCGATTGAATGAAAAGTTTTGATTCCTAGATTTGTTTCAAATTTACTGTTTCATTGATTATCAGCAAGTTTGAATTTGTTGAGGCAAGAACTGGTAAATTTGAAATTGGAAGATAAAATGTCCTAGTGTTGAAATAAAATAAGACAAATGTGAGAAAAATACCAGTTTATAGATTTTGGAGTCATTTGGTACGTATTATATGTGATTGAGTGGAAATTTGTGATAATATGTTGGATTAATTTCTGTATGTGTTGGCTCTCTTTTTATATTTGGCTGCTTCAATCTCTCTATTAATGTGTTTGCTTGCTCGGAAATTGAAGGAAAAAATGGAAAAATGTGATTTTGAATAACTTGGATCCACACATCATTACCCTTTTGATTGCTATTAGGGCTTCAACTCCATATTTGGTGTTCTGCAGAAGTTTGAGAATAGTTGCTGACTTGGACACTCATCATATTTTTGTTCGCGCTGATCCATCTGTAGATCCCTGCGCTTATAATGCTCCAAATGCTGTTAAGTTACTGTAATACCAAGAGGATGATGAGGTTGTAGAGTATAGAAAGCGTGATATTATTGTGCAGAAACATCATGGTCATTCTGAGAGACTTGGTATGTGTTATTCATTGATATATAATAATAGAATCATTTTGCTATAAACCATGTAGCATCTATGTAATTATTTCCAAACCTTCACAATTATAGCTTTATATTCTTGCAGGCAAACATGCCCAATCAACTAACTATCAAGGATGTTTTTCTATAAAGATGATAGACAGTTAATGTAATGATCCCATAACTGAAATGGGTGAACAATTGGTCCATCGAATGAGGATGAGAAGCAAGCATTTTATTGCCCTTCACCTAACGTAATCTCTCTCTCTCTCTCTCTCTCTCTCTCTCTCTCTCTCTCCTTCCCTCTTTGTTTAGGTTCTGGTTGCTGTTTGATTCTTATGGGCTACTAATTGTTGATATGGGTTCATTAATATGTTTTCTTTTCTTTATGCCCTCCTACTGTTGTTATTCTTAATGCGTACAAAATAATAATATGTTCCCTGTATCTCTAATAGAGGCATTTTAGTTATTACTGCATAGTTCAACTTGATTTCTCACTTATTGAAATGCAGCAGATTTGGAATGAGGTTGCTCATTTAATCAACTTAGATAGATTTCATCAAATTAAAATCTGTATGTCAAAGCTATAGGCAACAAATTTTAATCTTATGTATTGATTTTTATGCAGAGAGGCTTTAGTATGATCAAAGACCACGAACTACTTATTAAACTGTGAAAAGATAATGTGTATCATGGATGTGGATCAAAGTCAAATATTGGAATTTTATATTCAAATAATCATTATATTGATGATGTAGGAATGTCAGATCTGGACTTTTTTAGTTCATACTTGGGCTTTGGTATAGTGTTCCTAGGAATTTAAACTTTCGGCTCTAGAACAATGAGAGGGAAATGCCTTGGAAATCATACTTGAGGACATTCAACATTAAATTTATTCAAGATATATGTTACACAATGCCAATTATGTTAGAATCTAGCTTGAACACTAGGAAACTTGGTGACCAAAGAAACCTGAAAGCTATGTGTTTTGACCTTTTGCCTCGTTGAAGTTAAAAATAAAATAGGAAAATATTTAGATTTAAATAAAAATGCTGATTAGTTTGTGTGAAACAGGTTCTTTGATTTTTTCTGGTTCTTGTTGACATTAGTGCTAGTGATACAGGATATTCATGTACTCTTTTGGCATCTTCTGTTATCCGTGTTACTTATCATCAAAGATAATTTCAACTCTTTGAAGTTTTGGATTGTTATATATATTTCTACTAAATTGGCTTATACAATAAAATTATTTATATATGAGTTTAGATGTAATTGACAATATATTAATGTTTTCCTTATTTATTTTCTTTACAGATTGGTTTTGATGACGTTTGGAAGCATACTTGCAAATCAAGATCAAGTGCTGAATTTATTTATTTTTATATGAACTGATACTTAGTTCGAGTTGCAAATCAAGATCGTGTTGATTTTTTTTGTGGACTCCATGTTAGTTCATTTTGGAATTTGTTATGATGTTTTTTTTGTTTTACTTAATGGATTATTATTAAATTTGTTTAATGGATATATTTTGATTTATAATATAAATTATTTAGTGAATTTTTTTTATGGAGTGGTGTATAATAGTTAGTAGATTTCTTAGTACAATTAAAAAGTTATTAGGATATGAGCAGGGATATTTGTGAAATAATAATTTAAATTGAAATATAAAATATGAAACAAGTTTAGTGACGAATTTGTTTCGTCATTTGTACTTGTTATTATGACAAAGTGATTATTCGTCGCTAATAAACATTGTTTGTGACAAAATTTATTACAGCTTATATATGAAAGTTTTCATTTATTTTGTTGTTTGATGACTAAATATTTCGCCACCCATATATGACTTTTGGAGACGAAAAATTTCGTCACCTTTACATCTTACTGTGACGAAATTATTTCCTCATCAATGATCAACATCTCACCCATGTATGACTTTTGGAGACGAAAAATTTCGTCACCTTCACATTTTACTGTGACGAAATTATTTCCTAGTCAATGATCAACATTTGTGATAAATTTATTCGTCAACTAAAATTATAAATATGGTATTGAATAATTATTTAGTGACGAAAATGATAATTTTTGGTGACAAAATCTTGTTTTATTTGTGACAAAAAATTTCGTCATTGAACTAAATTCATTGGTGACGAAATTATTTTTCATCACGGTGGTTTTTAGTGACAAACATTCAATGACGAAACTGGTGACAAAAATATTTCCTCACAAATATCTATAGTGACGAAATTAGCTCTTTGGAGACAAAAAAATTTCATCATTCAAGACCCAACTTCTTGTAGTGTGATGTCGAATCCACGATGATGAGTCACTCCAAAATCCACCAAAGCTTCAGGCTCAAGTTTCCCGGAATCAACGGAAGAACAACTCTTTCTTTTGTGAATAAAGGAAAACAAACAAACCCTTGATGATATTGATATGAAGTTCACGGATTCATTGATCACTCTTAAATCATCAAGGAAACACTCATAAAGCACTCTCCAATATAAAACACTTTGTATCTTGTTCCTCTTTGAAAATCTGGACGGCGCAAACGCTAGAAACAGTGAACAACGCACTTCATAGAAAACATGATTGCACAGACTGCTCGAGAGTACATTTCACCACTCGAGTGATGTGACTAAAGGCGGTGTGAAACATATAGGTTGACTGCTCGAGTGCAACTTTCACTACTCAAGCGGTAAAACTTTCTTCCCAAAAGTTTAGATGCTATACAAAAGTACTAGATGATCTCTTTTCTTCACTCAAGAGCACAAATGACCGCACGAGCAGTCAAATAACTTGGGCTGCATTTTTGCTTTGGGGGCGCTCAACTCAATCCACATACTTAGTCAGCGAAGTGGCAAACATGAAGGATTGAGATCACAAACTCCTCTACATAGACATAATTCGGGTTGGATTCATATCTAAATACTCATAGCCTCACACTGAAATAAAAGATTGAATAAAATTACAACTGAAAGGAGTTTTGTCAAACGGGATTACCAATTACAAAAACCTAGCAACCTTATTTTTGCAGGAATTAAGAATTTATTGTTATGGATAAACTAGTGAATAAAAACGAAAAACTAGTCAGGAAGTGGGCGTATCAAGTCTTACGACATGTATAAACCTTAACCATTTTCACAAAATCGTTCATTTTCAAACTCTTCATTTTAACCATTCACTTTTATGTATCTAATCCATTCCTTTATATATATATACATAGTTTTATACCAATTATGAATCCCTTCAAATTTCAAAGGTCTAGAAATATTTTTTTTTTTGGGTATTGTTAACTTTTATGTATTTCAATAACACAGTTGAGTAATGTGTGGATATAAAACAATGGCTATATTGCAAGAACGTGGCCTGTAGTGCTTTGATTTTGCTGGGTTGTATCTTGTTGAGAAGCCAAGCTTGGCGGATAGAATTCCTATTAGAAAAATATTTCCTTCTCTTTCTTTTCTTTTCTTCTCATGAAAGAAGATTGAGGACTTCTAAAGTCATGTGAACTATTCTTTTGAAATTGGGTTGCCAAGTGACCGGTAGTTGTTTTTGGGGTGTGAATGTGATGTGAGGACTATTTTTCTAAGGTTCTAGATTGTTAGACAGCCGAGAGTTATTCCTTAGAAGTTGGGTCTGTTTCAGACAGGAGTATTGTAAGGTATTTTCGTGAGACCTTTACCCTTGACTTTTAGTTTTGTGGAATCGATGGGTTCTTGTGGCTTGTTAGAGGTACTCGTGACCATTTTGTCTAATCCTACTAAATGGGGACTCGTATGTAATGAGAGTCACATGTCTGGGTTGAATGGGCCTTGGTAATCCTTGTGGATTAAAGAAAAGACTCACCACTGAGGGTTGTTATTTGTATCCTATGGGGTGGGTTTGAATATTAGTGTGGAATCTAAAAATACGAGAGTTATCCTTAGATTTCGAACTAGATTCTGGAGTGGCAATTGTAATTTTATTAGGAATTGTTCTCCCCTATATATCATTGGGTTGTCTTATCTTCTTTAGTGGAAGTTGTTTCTTGTTTATCACGTGAAATCATTTGTGTTGGGAGAATATTCCAAAAACTTGTTGTTGAGTAGAAGTCATTTGTTATTAGTTGGTAGGACTGTTAGTTCAATCTGTGTTTCATTTGGATTTGTCTAAACTCTAGATCTTTAACTGTTTAATTTCGAGGACAAAACTTCCTAAGGTAGGGAGATTGTAACACTTTGTACTTCTTGGACTAGTGGGATTGCTCTTAACACTCTTATTATTGTACTTGTAGCCTCTCTGGTTCATTTTGGGATATTGATTGAGGTGGTATCATAATGGTAAAGTAAGATTGAACCAAAAACATTGATTCGGATAATTGTCCCATGAGTAGTCTTCACTCTTTTTCTTATTTCTCTTTGCACACTTTGAATTTGGATGTGAGGTTAGAACCATTGGAAAGATCGTTTCCGAGACTTTGATTTAGACACAAGAACGGCCTAAAATGAAGTCCGAACAAGAGAGTTATGCCTATTTGAAATTTGGATACCTATACTGGAAGCAAGTCCTGTCTAGCGAACGTTTGACCGCTCAAGTGGTCTGCACGAATTCAGGCATTTTTAAGGTCATTTTTTTGGCCCAAAATCTTTATTCTTTCTCCCTCTCCTCCATACCCGAAACTCTAGAGCCCTAAACACTTGATTTCTCCAATTTTTTCCCTTAAATCCACCCTAGATCCTTCAAGAAAATTGAAGAACAAGTCTAGTTCGAGATATCTACCGATTGTTTTGCATTTTCGTTGAAATTTCAAGTGGATTTCTATCTTAAGCTTTCATTCTTGAGGTAGGGGTATCTTTAACTTATTATATCTTTAATTTGAGACGCACATGTGGTAATTTCATTAGATATTCACCTTTGTAGATATATATATATATATATATATATATATATATATATATTTGTGTAAGGTATTTACCTATTTTTCTCAAAACGATACATTTTTAAAATGTATAAATATGAAACGATGTTCAATACAAGATGTATGAGTAATTTGTTTCAAATAACCTAATACTCATGCAATTTTTACAACAATGAAAACTATCATATACCGATAGCCCAAAACAGATATCTCTATACAAGAATTAAATTATAACCAACAAATAAAAATTTCAAAATTTCAATATATGAATAACAATACATGTTTCATTCCACTTCCTAACTCCGTAAGGTTCTAACATATTCCCATCATTCACCTTCCTATTCAAAATCAATAATGTCTAAGGTTTTCCAACAAATATCTATTTCTTTCAAAATTCATTTAGAAGAAAGATTTTCAAGATTTCAACTCAACTTATCAATACAACCATTTCCACAACATTTTCCATGTACCCATTTGAAAACTCATCTTTTATGCTCTCAAAATCAACCCAAATCATTCCAAATTAAACCCTAAATCAAATCCACAGCTCCCAAAACACTACTCTTTTCAAGGAACACATAACAAGATTAAGTACCATACAAAATACTAAAGAAATCCTTATCTCAAGGTATGAAGAGAATAGAAATAAATCCTAAAATTTGATGGAGACGGAGATAGATCTTGAACTTTTTCAGATTAAAATGATCACCTCTCCGAGGTTTACTTTTTAACCTAAAGCACCAAGACAACGAAATTTACGGATTTGAGTATATAAAGTGATTTATATAAGAACTAGAGAGAGAAAAGCTAAAGAAAATGGCTCCGAAAGTTTTTAGAGAGAGAAAGAGGGGGAAGGAAAAAGTGAAAGAATATCTTTTCTCCGTACCTTTATATGCACAGACCGTTCGAGTGACTAAAACACCGCTCGCTCGAGCATTAGATACAAAATACTGCTCGAGCGACCAACCCATAGCTCGAGCGAAGAAATCAAATTCCCATAAGCTTAACCTTGTAGAGTAGATTGCTCGAGTGAAGAATGACTCCCTCTCAAAATTTCCAACCTGCAAAGAGACCGTTACCCCTAGAAATTCAGATTGTAGACACTTATTTTAGGAGAAACGAAAGACCTCTCAAGCGAAGAAATGATCGCTCGAACGAATTCAACAACAATCAGACAAAAATTCCTTTGGAATACCAACTCTCAACCTGTTCGAAACATAACCCAACAATTCAAATATCCACTCTAACCCAACAACAAGGTAATAAGGTGTTTAAATAACAACAATAAAAACGATAGATATTAGATTTCAAATCAAATAATATAAAAAGGGTCAGGTCTTAACCTGGGCCACTATAGTGTGGGTCTATGACTTTTGATTTTAGCAAAAGTCACTTCTTAACTATTAAAGTCAATTTTTTTTTTTAAAAATTATTTGGCATAAACTAAATAGGTGCACCTTTTTACTTTTCTACACATCT